GAGGAGCCACCTCACCCTGGTAACTTCAGCCCACCCCACTCGGTCCAGCAGAAGGGGCAGGTTGCAGACCCCACCAGTCAAGGAACTTCGACTGGTGGGGTCTAGGCAGAGGGCCTTTTCTGCTGTGGCCCCCACCCTATGGAACAATCTGCCTCCCGAGGTCTGGTGTGCCCCCACTCTCACGGCCTTCTGGAAAGGCGTGAAAACCTGGCTGGGCCAGAAGGCCTGGGGGCCAGATGGGGGCTCCCACCAGCGGAAGTGGCTTGTGGGATAATTGACCTTGCCCCCCCCCACGTCACCTTGAATGTTTTTAGTATTTATGTATAGGGTTTGTTTTACAGTCTGACTTTTAATTGATTAATGAATTTTAATTATTTATATGGTACTGTTTTTAATGGTTTGTGGTTTTAATTGTGAGCTGCCCAGAGTCATCCCTTGGGGGAGATGGGTGGCATACAAATTTCATAAACAAACAAACTTTCCTGGGGTCCATCGAGGATTTCCTTCAAGTAGGTGACTCTCTCTCATGAAAGGTAAAACTGTTAAGCGCAGCGTTGTATTGATGCTAAAAGCGGGGAATGCCCGCCCATTCCCCTCCGTGTTCCCTCCTCAACAAAGAGATTCACACAACGGTGGCAACACAACAGTCTTTGCCAAACCAAAAAAGACGAGGAAGCCCTGAGTGTTGCCCCAAGGCTCCTCTCTGTCCCCTACTGGTCACTTGCCAAAGCTGGAAGTGACTTCTGCCCAGGTGCTACACCTGGCAGAAGCTTCTTCCGGCTTGGCGAGGGCACATCGGAGAAGGTGGGGGCGCCTTTCTGCTGGCATGGTTTGCCAAAGACACGACGGAGGAGGTGAATGCTGGAGAAACTGGGAGAAGCTGCGAATCAGAGCACGGCCCCTTTGCTTTGCTCTTCATATAGAGCCCCATCACACTGCGTGTGGCAGCAGGCCAGCTGTGGGGAAGAGCCCCTCTGGTGTTGGATGGCACAACTATCCAGCCAACCTCCCCTGGTGGTGGGATCTAAAGGCAAATCAAGGAAAGATGGGCAGCCACAGAACACGCTCATCTGGGGCACCAAGGAAGGAGGACTCAGACCTAAGAAGTGTCTCTTCTTGTTCTAGTCATTCGCTGCTTCAAGATGAGGCTGGCAGCATCTCCTCAGGAGACGAGGAGAAGGGCATTCTCCACTTCACTATCTAGTCCGCATCACATCAGCAGCAAAGATTATCCCTATTTGCTTTCGGCTCATTTTTAACCCTGAACGATTCTCATGATCCTCCCAAGAGCACACGTAGGTGACAGCAGGCAACAACCTGTTTTTCAACAACAGTTTCATTCAGAGTCTTGGACGTATCGGAGGAGAACCACTGCGTACCACAGGCGTTTGCCTCGCTCAGCCCATCGGCTCTAACCATCCCCTGCAAGAGAGCCTCCAAAAGACTCCTGCAAATATTCCATGCTCCAGGGCTTGTGCGTCCTCCTTGATTTCGTTCAATTAACCTTAGCACAGAGAGGAGGGGACGGCTGCCTCTCTGGGGTCACTCACTTCGCTGGGGACGGGGTGGCAGTTCTTTGAAGACAGCCTTCCCCAACATAAGCGGCCGTGTTCCTACGACACTTAACCAGGCCAGCAAAAATCCTCATGTCTGAAAGGCAAGAGCTGCACATCCGACTAAGTGTGGTGACTCAGCGTTTTTGTGGCTTAATATGTGTGAACCCAACTCATTTCATTTGTTTCCAGTTCACTGGATTGTGCAAATGCACAGAAAGGGTCCATTTAGTAACCAAGTTAAACAGGCTGAATAAATGCAGCCACCAAGTGTGATTACAGCGCCCAGATTCCCCATCCGTGCACTAAGAACCCTGCAGTCAGCGTTTTGGCTTTCCTGCACGTTGCAAAGGGGTGGGCTCAGGGGCACCTGCCCTGGCATTGCAGAAGTCAAGATGGCAATGGCACAAAAACGGGGAGAGGATCCAGCCACGCAGCCACGGCACCATCTAGACTTTTTGAATCCTTCCTGCCAGCGGCCCTGGTTGGATTAGACCAGGGCTGTTAACCTGGTGCCCACAGACCTCTTGTGGGTCCGTGGATGGACTTCTGGAAGTCTGTGAACTTGGATGGGAAGGAAATTACAACTTTATTTTCACTAACCTTCACTAGCTCTTTGTTCGGTAACGAATAAAGTAATACAGTGGGGCAAAAAAGTATTTAGTCAGCCACCAATTGTGCAAGTTCTCCCACTTAAAAAGATGAGAGAGGCCTGTAATTTTCATCATAGGTATGACCTCTGTCATTGCCAACAAAGGATATATAACAAAGTATTGAGATGAACTTTTGATATTGACCAAATACTTATTTTCCACCATGATTTGCAAATAAATTCTTTAAAAATCAGACAATGTGATTTTCTGGATTTTTTCCCCCATTTTGTCTCTCATAGTTGAGGTATACCTATGATGAAAATTACAGGCCTCTCTCATCTTTTTAAGTGGGAGAACTTGCACAATTGGTGGCTGACTAAATACTTTTTTGCCCCACTGTATTACTGACCTCTGTCATTGCCAACAAAGGATATATAACAAAGTATTGAGATGAACTTTTGATATTGACCAAATACTTATTTTCCACCATGATTTGCAAATAAATTCTTTAAAAATCAGACAATGTGATTTTCTGGATTTTTTCCCCCATTTTGTCTCTCATAGTTGAGGTATACCTATGATGAAAATTACAGGCCTCTCTCATCTTTTTAAGTGGGAGAACTTGCACAATTGGTGGCTGACTAAATACTTTTTTGCCCCACTGTATTACTGACCTCTGTCATTGCCAACAAAGGATATATAACAAAGTATTGAGATGAACTTTTGATATTGACCAAATACTTATTTTCCACCATGATTTGCAAATAAATTCTTTAAAAATCAGACAATGTGATTTTCTGGATTTTTTCCCCCATTTTGTCTCTCATAGTTGAGGTATACCTATGATGAAAATTACAGGCCTCTCTCATCTTTTTAAGTGGGAGAACTTGCACAATTGGTGGCTGACTAAATACTTTTTTGCCCCACTGTATTACTGACCTCTGTCATTGCCAACAAAGGATATATAACAAAGTATTGAGATGAACTTTTGATATTGACCAAATACTTATTTTCCACCATGATTTGCAAATAAATTCTTTAAAAATCAGACAATGTGATTTTCTGGATTTTTTCCCCCATTTTGTCTCTCATAGTTGAGGTATACCTATGATGAAAATTACAGGCCTCTCTCATCTTTTTAAGTGGGAGAACTTGCACAATTGGTGGCTGACTAAATACTTTTTTGCCCCACTGTATTACATTGACCAAATACTTATTTTCCACCATGATTTGCAAATAAATTCTTTAAAAATCAGACAATGTGATTTTCTGGATTTTTTCCCCCATTTTGTCTCTCATAGTTGAGGTATACCTATGATGAAAATTACAGGCCTCTCTCATCTTTTTAAGTGGGAGAACTTGCACAATTGGTGGCTGACTAAATACTTTTTTGCCCCACTGTATATAGTCTTTAGATTGCAAAAATGTTTGTTGATTTCAACTGTTCTCTCCATCTAGAATTATCTGAATTATTTTTTAATAATTTGATAACTGTATTTGCCTGTAATTGGTTTCCTTTAGTAATGCAAGCTATGTCGATCTATTTTATTTACTGCATTTAAATGAGTTTTTCTGAGAAGGGGTCAACAGTTTCACAAAAGAGGTCCCAGTGTAGGAGGCATGTGGTTGCATTCGCAGACTTTCAAAGGAATCCACAGCGTCCAGGGGCGAAGAACCCTGGATTGGATGGTCCTTGAGGCCCCTTGGACCTCATCCTTCGGGGGGCCCAAGCAGAACCTCGTGGTTTATCGATCCCTCCCTCACTTGAAGGTTCTGATGCAAAATGGATAAAAAGGGGGGTCTGTGCAGCCTCAAGCTCACGTTTGCCAGCTACATGGCTGAAGAAGCCTGAACTATGTGCTTCCTGGCATGTACAAGAGGTCTTCCTCATACAGGTAAAAACTTCACCCAAGAGGTTACTTCTCACTCCATTTTGGTAAAGGAAACTAGCCTGGCTCAGCCCCACTTCTGGTCCCCAAGGGTTGCTAAAGGTGACTATCTGTGGCTTAGCATGTGGTGGGAGCTTAATCAGTGATGACTTATTCCACAAACTAGATTAAGCCAATCATGGTTAACCATAATGTGTGGATCCAGTTGTGGGGTCTACTGCAGTGTTTCTCAAGCTTGGCAGCTTTAAGCGGTGTGGACTTCAACTCCCAGAAGTCCCCAGCCAGCCAAATGGAAACAGCCAAACCTGTGGGTCGGCTCAGTGAAAATCTCAGCCGTCAGAAGAGGGTCCGCGATGCCAGAACCCAGAGATCGTGCCCAGAGAAGACGGGGTGGCCTCCTCCCGGGCCTGGCTGGAGGCAGTCAGCTGCGCCCACTAGAAGGGAGGGTCCGGGCGCATGAACAGCATCAGCCTGCTGGGGGTTCAGGAGTGTCCTTCCTGCCCCCCCCCCCACTGCACAGGTCCCTCTTCCCTCAAGAGGACTCCCCCTGCCCCTTTCCTCTTGGCCAGAGCTCAGCATCGCTGCCTGGGAAGCGAGAGTTTTCGTCTCTGCTCCCCACAGACAGCGGCTCTAACATCAGGGGCAAAGCATTTTTAAAAAGTGTGAATAACGATGCAGGAGGGGGAAGCGCTGACAGCAGAGCTGCCCGCTGGAAACAGCTGCCTGGGCTGTAATTTAACACCTTCCCTGTTAAGAAAAAGAGGAGAAGCAGCAGCAGCAGCAGCCCGGAGAACTCGTGCATTAGGGAGGCGATTTGTAGCGGGGCAGAAAAAAGGCCGGGGGACTCACTGTAGTCGCTGTTCTCGTCCTTGGTCCCGTCAATCGTTCCGTCTGGGTGCATCTGCAAGAAATATTCCTGCTGGCTGAATAACCTGGTCACGATCCCTTTCAGCTGGGGTTCTACAGAGGAGGAGGAGCAGAAAAGAGCCTGGGATTACTGGCGGGCCTCCCGGAGCCAGCGATACACACACGCGCCACCGAGGCACGGATGCCAGATAAACAGACCCTGCCCACGGGTTTTCCCGCAGAGGGGAATGCTCCCTCTGAACCCCACAGCCTAGCCAGGAGGGGCACATCTCTGCCACCCCGGAAGAGCTCGGAAGCCAGTTCGCCTCCCCTCAGAGGGGGGCACCAATGCTGCGGCAAGCACGGAAAAAGGTCCAAGCGCAGGAGGCATGCGGTTGCATGTGAGAAGGGGCTACAGGCGTTCTACGTCCTATGGCATCACCACGCAAACAATGCAGGTGATGGGATCTGTGCAAATCGCCTGCTTGACCTCACGTGCGCAAAGACATCACGACACGCGGGATGTCGCTGTGGCTTATTCCTAAGGCATGCCAAGCTGCAGAAAGATACGCACCGGGGCTCTCTGGTCTCCAGCTTAGTTTCTGAACCATGACACCCTCCCAATGGCTGGGTCTACGCAGCACACTTAACCTGGTCACTGCGTTAACCCGTGTTCTGGATTCCCACAGGAGGCTGGGCCCTAACGGTCTGAGTTCACACAATACAAGAAGCCACAAAGCAGTCTATAGTTAACTCTAACCAAGTTGTCCAAAGAGAGCTGCCACACCTTTAACTGATCCGCTCTGACACACCGAGCAAAGCTGTGATGTCTGAGCTGATTCCGGACGTCAGAAGATGGTCTCCAGGCATGAAAGGGTCAAGCATCTGCCCAGCCCATCCTCTGGACGTTTGGAAGGACTCCACTCCCAGGGTGGGCTCAAAACATCTGTCTTCCTCCACAGCTGAATCCTTCAGACTCTTCCAGCGTGAGTCCATGCCTCCCTGCTTTCTCCCAGGTCACATTATTTATGCTTACTAATACCTTCCGTTTGCCTTACAGAGGAATCTCAGGACAAGGTACAGGAAAAATCAATGTAATCTAAAGTTAAGACAGCAAAAACAGGATGCCCACCTCAGCTAAAAAATGCAAGTCACCCGTAAGCTTCCAGGCTGAGGTGGATTTTAATGTGGGTCTCCCCAGTTCTCGTTCCACCGCCACGCCCCGCTGCGTCCACAATACAGACAGCCCTAGTTTTCCAGGGTCTTGTTATCTGCAGTTTCTAATGATGGCTAATTAGAGAGCAGACCTTGGTGCACGTGTAAAGGCCGTGCCTATCCCTGGTCGTGGCCTTGCTGTTTGTTACTTTACGCCAGCACATAATGGCAGGCGGGTTTTTGCGCAGAAGTCAAAGTACGCTTTTTAAGGGTTCGGGTGTGGTCGTCTGCACCATCTCGCCGTTTTTGCGCTTCCTCCTTTTTGCTTGATTGCAGCAGATCCTGAAGCTGGCTTAGCAAACTCCAGCTCAACGAAAGGAGGAGGAGCAAATACAGGTAGACTGCGGTGGGAGGGAGGGAGAGAAAGAGGCTTCAGCATCTACCCCCCAAGCACACACAATGCCCACGGGCACATCATCTGCAGTTTCGTTATCCTTCGTTTTACACCGGAATGGGATCCCTGAAAAGAACGTAGTCCGCCTGTGTGTTTAACCTGGTTACTCAGTTGAGGTCAGCCCTCCGAGGTAGGCCGTGTTAGGAAGCAGACGCTGCAAGAAATGCTAGAGCTCTCCTTTAGCGATAAAGGCTTTCACGACAAGCTTAAAGGCCTGACGGCATTTCCCCTTCCCTCCCTCCCTCCCTCCCTCTTATGCGAAAGAGAGTCAAGCCGGGGCACTCTCGAGTTTCCTTCTCGCGCCTTCCCGTTCTCTGAACGGGGCAAACCAGAGTCGCTCTGCAGTGAGATGGGCGGTGACAAATTGTTTATTTGAAATAGACATAAAATAAATTAACAGTTGTAAAACTAATGTTTTGCTAACAGTTGCTGCATCTTTCCGTCAAGGCCCTCCGTGTTCTCCTCAGCAGTTGAGCTTTTTGGGGAGTTTGCACAATATGATGAACTACTGCTTTGTACAACCTGCAGGGACACACACACACACATACACACAATCAAGCGTTGTCCATTGTACAAATGCAACTGCAAAGTCTTACCCCGTCTGGTTTCAGTGGGTCATGTGAATGCACCCAGCAAGAGTGAATTTTAATACTACTTTTATATCTCCCTCCCCCCAAAAGCACAAGAAAAATAAAATGAGTACAAGCGCAAGGAACAATAATCGTGCAACCCCTGGTGGGGTCGTGATTTATTTTCTGGAAGTTTTTACAAAGTATTGTGCGTTTTGATTGTTGGGCCGTGCCTACAGCAGCCTTCCCCCAATATCACTGGACTATTATGCCCATCATCCACAGCCAGCATCAGCAGAGAGGAGGGTGAGCACGGAAGGAAAGCTTAGGAGACTATTGAGAGGAAAAGGATCCATTACTTTCTTGCAAGTTCAAAAAAAAAAAAGATGAACCACTAATAAATATTTGCATTTTAAAAAGGCTTGACTGACACAGAGGGGGGGGTTGAAGAGGCAGTTACCCAAAGGAGACTCCAATACACGTGCACCAATGCCCTGCCCTTCTCAATCCAAACAAACCAGCCTGCGGACCCACAAGCGTTGGCCGGTGGGTTTTTCGGGCAGACGAAGAGCTCATTTTGCCAGTAAGTGCCAGGAACAGTCGGGCACCGGAGCCGGCTGAGAACGGATCCTTCCCCCTCAGTGGGTTGCACGGCATACACAGGCCTGGATCCTCTGCTCAGTGATGCCCCATTGGCTGGGACGTCAGTTACACCCTGCCCGCTTGTGGCGAGGGCAGGGTCTCCCTGAAGCCCATCCCCACTCGTAGCCTGAACCAGGAGACCTGGGAGGTTGCTGCTCCAAGCCCAGCACCCACCGGCTCCCCCTCGCTTGGCCCGGCAGGCTAGCTAACGCTTAGCCCCCCAGCTGGGCTCAGGGCTCCAGCCTCGGCCGAGGGACGATGGCTCCGCCTGCAACCTGATCTGACCTCTGCCCAGCAGAAAGAGCTTCTACCCTGACTGCTTAGAGATGCCCCCCCCCCCAGGGCAACAGCAACACAAGGTGGGTGTTTG